AAACAATACAAAATAAGAGCAGAGCAAACACGGACCCCCGAAACATCAGAGGTGGGATCAGGTGCCATGGAGGAGTGAGCATCTCCTGCCGACCGGTCACACCTGCCGTGTAACTATTTCCAGAGACTGGGGGCTTCTTACAGAGAAGACGTAAACCTTACTGCGAAATACCATATTATTTTTCAAAAAAGTTTTCCGCTTTACATTAGTTTAAAAAATAGCAATTATCCTTATACTTTGAAAATTTTGTACGATATTGCTTTGCCAAAAAAAAAATTAACAACACGTACTTCTGCAAGGTTACATGTATATAGGATTTTAAGAGGAGGTTAAAGCTAAAAGATAATGAAATTAGTCCTTTGTTAAATGGAGCGCTTAGAAGTGCATGTAATAGTCTCATGTTCAAAATAATTGATTACTTGATTGAGTTATGAAGAACATGTACATGTACAATGTACATGAAGAAAAAATTACCTGCATTTTTCACTAATAACATCAGAACCCTTTTTGCTGTCTTGATTTTCCATGAATTGTGGGATAAATTTGAAACAGCCCATTACAATTGGTTGAAAATACACATATTTGGTCATCCCGTGCACACATTGGAAATTTTCAATTAATCCTTTCAAAAATGAATAAAAGCATATATTACAGAAATACAAAAGTTTCCATCATTTTATCTTTTATGCATATTTCTGACTGTGCTTTTTGTCTTGAAAAAGTTCTTCCAAATCTATTCAAAAATTATACTTTTATCAGAAAATCGCTACCGGTGTACATGAAATATATAAATATAACGAACAGTATTCAATTCAAACACAGTGCAAATCGGGAGTAGAGCAAACACGGATGTCTATAATGTCAGAAGTGGGATCAGGTACCATGGAGGAATAAGCATCCCTTACCGACTTGACATACCCACTATCAATCACCCTGTAGTGTAGGGCGGCGCAGCAATAATTCTATTGAAAGAGTATTAATCCCAACAAAAAATACTATAGTTAACTTAAATTGATTAAAGTAAATCAAAGTGTCAAAGTTATCACTATATTAAATCAGAGTTTTCAAAGTTATCACTATAGTAAATCAAAGTTTTCATAGTTATCACTTTAGTAAACCAAAGTGTCAAAGTTATCACTAAAGTAAATCAAAGTTTCTTATAGTGTCAAAGCTATCACTTAAGTTAATTATTGTTAACTATAGTAAACAGTAGTTAACTATATTATTTTTTGTTAGGGCTAAATGGCCGAATGGTCTTAAGGATGAATTCTTTCGAGCGCGTTGTTCCAGTACACTATAGGGTTGGCTGTTATGAACGATAACTAACTGCTGAAACTTGTTTTGAGCAGGCCTGAGGTATCTAACTGTTTCCACGCAAGTCAGTTTTAAGCATTTCCCAAGTGTTTCTTTGCTGTCAGTAGAATTTAGCACTAATGTAAAACTTATTTACTGTATAGTTGCGGACACTGTTTAACTACATATAATTAAAATTTTTAATTAAAATTAAAAAGTGAAAGCTACCCTCCTTCTTAGTTCTAACCTGATAAAATTTTTATGCTCGGTCGTTCCTCTTCGTGCTTAGTAACACAAATAAGATGATCAATTGTTGCATTTACTTGTAAAAAATATATATGTATATAGGAAGCGCAAAAGTGCGAACATAAAAAACATGACCTTATATTTTCTCCTTCATAACAATCGTCAAAGAGAGTTAAAAATATTCAATATAGTCTGTTCCCCATTCATTTGACCCTGTTATTTCAGGTAGAGTGAAGACATTCTCCTTCTTTTGGTCAACACTTGAAGAGCAGACATAGTCAAAATTACATAGTATCAAGGCAGGACATAGGGTCTTTCTAGACTATGTACTAAGACAAGATGCATTTCTATAAAAAAAAACTTAAGTCTAGCATTAACTTTTTGTATGATGCTAAATACAATATTTTCACATGAGAGAAACTTGTCAATACAGATTCCTGAATATCTTACACTTTCAGAAACTTTAATGACGCGACCATTACACAAAAATTAAGAATCTGTGATTTTTTTTTAGCTTTCTTGGAGGACCAAATAAAATAGATTCTGTCTAACCTAAATGAAGTAACAATATGTTGTCAACTAACGATGAAGAGGAATTGCCAAGAACAATACCCAGTTTTTTTAGCAATAATTGCAGAATCTCTGTGTGCATAAAAATAGCATTGTCGTCAGCAAATAGAATTAATATACAGTCCTGATCAATACTGACAGCCATATCGTTAACATATATAAAATATAAAAGAGCTCCTAACAAATTTACTTGAGGAACACCACAAATAATTGAATTAAAGTATGATGAAATATTGTTGACATGAATTTTGTGTCTACAATACAGGTAAGATTTGAACCACTCATTGAATAAAAACTCCTAAAACTCCTCACTTATCACATAAAATTGCATGGTAAACAGTGTCAAAAGCTTTTTGTAACTCCAACATTACCATTCCAGTATAAAGCACTTTGATGTATTACGGGTACTTTTAATAAAATATAACATATGTATAAAGCAAGTATCAGTTGAAAATTTGTTTCTAAAACCTGATCGGTATGAACACAACAATTGATTATTGTTTAAAAAATCAAAGAGTTGAACATGGACACTTTCCCAAAATCTTTGACACTATACATAGTATTCTGACTGGCCTATAATTTCCGACTTCAAGGGAATTTCCTTTCTTGAAGAGAGGTTTGACTCTTGCCATTTTAATATCTTCTAGTACAGTACCGGTGGTCATAGATTTGTTTACAATGGACATTTTAAGTTCTTAAAAATAACAAGAGGCCCAGGGGCCACATCGTTCACCTGAGCAACTGGCTAGGAAAAGCACATATCAGAAGCACATATCAGATCAGAACTGAAGTTTACTGGGGGGGGGGCTTGAATTTTTAACCCCCCAGGGGGTCATGATTTGAACAAACTAGAATCTACGCTACCTGAGGATGATTAATATAAACATTAAGCATGGCTTTGAAGTACTTGAAAAGAAGATTTTAAAAGGTTTCCCTATATATGCCTATGTAAAAATTTTAATTTGCCATTTTGCCCCACCCTACCCCCGGGGGTCTTGATTTGAATAAACTTGAATCTACACTACCTGAGGATGATTCCACACGAGTTTCATCTTTCCTGTCCCAATGGTTCTTGAGAAGAAGATTTTTCCTATATATTCCTATGTAAAACTTTGATCGGCCATTTTGGCCCCACCCTACCCCCGGGGGTCATTTTAACAAAAAAATACACTACCTGAGGATGATTCCACATGAGATTCATCTTTCCTGGCCAAGTGGTTCTTGGGAAGAAGATTTTTAAAGATTTTTCCTATAAATTCCTATATAAAACTTTGATCGGCCATTTTGGCCCCTCCCTACCCCTGGGGGTCATGATTTGAACAAACATGAATCTACACTACCTGAGGATGATTCCACTTGAGTTTCATCTTCCCTGGCCCAGTAGTTCTTGAGAAGAAGATTTTTCAAAAATGCCATTAATATTTCTCTAATTCATAATTATCTCCCCTTTGGAAAGGGCGTGGCCCTTCATTTGAACAAACTTGAATCCCCTTTACCCAAGGATACTTTGTAGCAAGTTTAGTTGAAATTGGGCCAGTGGTTTTTGAGAAGAAGATGAAAATGTGAAAAGTTTACGACAACAACGACGACTACAACAACTACAACGACGACGACGACAGACAACAGACAAATTTCGATCAGAAAAGCTCACTTGAGCCTTCGGCTCAGGTGAGCTAAAAAGCACCATCTTTTAAAAACCTTGCTTGTATACTATCTAAAACCAGCACTTTTATTTACATTCAAACTTTTTAGTTCTCTCTACTGGTATATAAAATCTTCCGCATGTCAAGAATTTAACTGCGGATATGGGCAGCAGTAAATATCCGTTTAAGTGATTAAATATATTCCTTTAATATTGATATTGCTTTACTAAGGGATGATATGTTAGTTTAAGAGTCAGTGTAAATCACATATATATTTCTATCATTATTGTGATACATGTAGCAATAGACCCTTATCACTTGCATATGGGATTTGTCTCAGTTGATTCAATCCGCAAGATCATGATATGCCTATGAACACATACGAAAAGTTTTTAAAACGAGAAAAGCAATTGACGAATATACAAGTTGATTAAAATAAAAATATCAATAGCTTTGCAAAGCTCATCATTTTGGTTAATGTTTGACAAACATAAACGACAATCTATCATTTAGTCGGATGTTGGCTGACCTTTTTCCCTAGTTGTAAGGCTATTATTTATAGTCCGACTTGTCTACGGAATTTCGTTTCTTTACGATTATGTCACGGAGCACACGGCGGTTGTGATCGGTCGGTAAAGGATGCTTACTCCTTTAAGGCACCAGATCCCAGCTCTGATGATTTAAGCTCTTTGTTTGCTCTGTTCCCGATAAATATTGTTTCAATTGACTCTTACAGCTTTATTATGTTCGTTATCTGTAATATTTAGTTAATAAAATTTATTGAATATACATGTATCGGGTAAAAAGTTTGTATTATCTTTCCATTAAGGTCTCGTCATTTGCTCTTTAATCAAAATGGTTTGAAGAACCTCTTACCTTGCTTTCCCTCCGAACATAAAAAGCTTGCAGCATTAAGGGTTGCGCCGACAAAGAGTGTGCTTGGTGATATACACGTGGTCTTGTAGCCCTTCACACAGTTGCTAAACTGTGTTTGAATACTTTGTCATTCAAGAAAATATTTAACAATTAAGATTCAGTTCAATTTTAAACATCAATTGTTTAGCAATTTCAGGTATTTAGATTGATATCACACAGTAGCGTTAAATAATATGTCACCCAGGTGGTGATGAGAAGACACCTTATAATTTAATTACATCCCAATCAAAGCATTCACAGATAAATTCAAATAAATTATTAGTTTTGTGTGTTTTGTTTTAAGTAAAATGAAAATATCATACTTGCCTACAAAATTTATCTACTGCGCTCTCCTTATTCATCCTCTCTATATCTTGTGATAAAAACATTTTTAACATTTCTTTTACATGTATAGAGAATTCGTTCATGCAATCCAGATTCCTTGTATTGTCACATTATTGAGTAACTGTCCCTAAAAAAAGAGTTCTTGGTAAAATTAAAGTGTGATAGCCAAAAATATCCCAAATTATGTGCAAGACGCGTGTTAAGAATACATTGATATACTGTTGTTGACTCATTTTTTCGTTGATGAGTATATTTACAATTCACCAGTAAGAAACATTACTATATACTTAGTAATAGTTAATAATCGTACCTGACACCATGACAATCAATACAAGAAGATTAAATACATGTACCATTCTTACTGATGTCATGATAACAATCCTAGCATGCTTACAATTAATATTGAAATATAGTTCATGTTTAATTCACAATGGAAAATCCTAACTGGACGGACAGACAGACGTGCTTGACTGTTTCCAGAACGTGTGTATCAGAAGAATTCACTGTCTTATTTACAAAGCTATTCTAATTATGCAAATAACTCGGTCAAGGACATGTAATAAGAATAATCTCTTTATGAAATTACGTAGACATTCTTTACCGAAAATAAATATTTCGAAATAGCATTGATACACATTAGCATTAGCACAACAAGATTTTTTTTTTTTGCATTCGCAGGGGTTATAAGGAAACATACAGAATATTCTACGTTATCATGCTAGAATTATAATCATGAAATCAGTAAGAATGATTTATTATTTTTTGAAAGATATAGTCTCATAACTGCAACGGTGTGTGCAAACAAATTTTCATAGCGTTACTCAATTTGTTTGCACACACCGTAAGATGTATGAGACTATATCTTTTAAGAAATAATGTTTCATTGCTTTAGTAACTCAGAAAATGTACGAAACGGATAAACATTTAAAGAAGTAAAACGTTTTTATTTTTTATATTTATATTTTCATTTTTTATTCGTGTGACAAGGTAAAATAGGCACTATTTAGACTTTGTTATGAAAATTCAACATAACGTATCTATGACGTCATGTGACTTCACAATCTGGGTCCATTTTACAAAGGGACTTACGACTTGAGCCAAATTTTATATTTTATATAACTTTGTGATAAAAATTATATCAAATTCATTTTAATATTTTTAAAAGAAGCGTGCTAAGATATTTTTACACAAATAACTTTGAAGGGAAACATAAATTTTGCATTTTTTAATTTTTTTTCAACTGAAGTTTTTGGTCTTTGTCGTACGTTTTTTTGTAAAATGGGCACCTGAACTTTCCAAATGGCTCATGCAGTTTGCTTTCCATATGCCAGAAAATCAGATCATGTGACCAACTGCATGTCATTGCAAATTGAATTTCAATTTCATTATCATTGTTAAATAAGGAAAGACATTAGCAAATGTAAATATTTGTGTATATCAAGTAACTCGGGAATTGATCATGTCGTGTAAAGAGAATATAGGTAAGACGGCATGTACAAAGATATGTAAAATGGAGTTTAAAAGCAGGTATCGTGAATATTACCTAAAATCCATATGGAGTTCAGTTAATTAAACAGGTATGATACTTTATTTTAATATACAGGTAAACTTCGACACACACGTGAACACAACCTGATTTGGTTGTTTATTTACTATATAAATGATTTGCAAAAACTTTTTCGACCTCGGTAATGTCGACTACCCCGCTTATCTCGACGTATTTCACAGTCCCAAGAGCAAAATTTACCTGGTATATGTCGACATCGGGGCAATTTTCTGCTCTACTTAACCTAATTGTTTGTCAGCTGGTCGCTCGTCACGCACGAGCGATTCCGTGTATCTCGACGTCGCCAGAAATTCACACCTTTCACACCCATGTTTTGACTACATACTGCTCTGTAAAAATGTGTTTTTTAGAGGAATCCCAAGCCCCCTAGGCGTCTCTAATACGTTAATTGTTTAATGTTTAGCTTGGGTATTATCATTGATAAATCTCCATTCTGCGTTAAAGTAAAATCGTTTATTTATGTCGAAATCTAACAAAACTTAAACATTTTATATAAAAAAGGAACTGAATAACAATGAACAATATACACATTGAATTTAATTTAACTTAAAAACTGTGGTATAAATGCATTCAACAGGAATCAATCAAATCTACGACATGTACGACTATTGCATCACAGTCGTAATATGGATGCATATGTAACATCATTAAGTTTGTTAAATGCGCAATTCCAATTAAATTTAGGTTTGAAAATGAAATGAAAATTAATGATGAATGATTATGAAATAAAAAAGAAGTGAAATGAAATTATTTTAAAAAATATATGCATTAATTTTTTTCCGTATCTCGGAAGTCGACTTTGTACCGTCCCGGTTTGGAATTTATAGAGCGCATTTCGTATCTTGTTCTGACAGAGCTAGTGGCACGCGGATCGAATGCTGGATGGAAAACGGTTTTTAGTAAAAAGAGATAAAAAAGAAAGCATTTCATAAAAACATTCGTGAAAAACATTAGATTTTTTAAATAAATATAGAGGGATAGCTGAAACAAATGAGCTAAAGTCTAATTGAAGTATTTGAAGATATGCCGGTACCTGTAGTTACAAGTCTGTTCAGTTTAGGTCTATGGTTTTACTATACAGTAAAATTATGGACGTCGAAACTCTGATATTCCTTTAATATCTCGACATTTTCCGACTGTCCTGTCGATGTCGAGATAACGAAGTTTACCTGTATTATATTCTCTTTCGAAGACAGTCAGCTAAATACATATTCCGGTCAACTTCTACTGTAATTCGTGAGAAAAAATAATGCAACAGAACAACAATAAGCTGGATATTTTAAAACACAAGAATTGTTCATATGAAAAGTTTGCCTTCTAAAATACTTGAAAATAGCTGCTAGAATTCCGAGAACCTTTGAGCAGGGAGGGATCTTTTTCGTGCCTATGTAAGAATTAATAATAGTTTACGTTTATCAGCGGTTTTGGTGAATTATCAAACTGAATTTTCCTTTAAAAAGTCCTTACGTGGTGTGTTCAAATCCACTGCTTGATTTACTTTAAAAATATGCGTAATTTGAAGTCAGTGTTTGGGAAAAATGTCGGATTGTTTAATTAATTATGGAAATTTAAATTATATTGATTAAATTTAATAGCTACCTAAATCCCGCTTATATAACATTGGTTGGATCAGTTTTCTTTTTTTTTTAATAAGCCTCATCGCATTAAGTGTCCCAATCCATATTGTACAGTATAACTTGACTTCTTGATAACAAACATATTTGAGCTCAAATGTCAACAAAACAAACTAAGAGCGGAACAAACACGGACATCCAACACACAAGATATCTGATCATGACCTTAAAGTAATTTGTTTTGCAAAGATACATACCATTGTTACATGTAATGCCCTTGGTCAGAGGTTTTATCATGGCTTCCAGGTAAGAACGTATATAAGTTGCTGCGTTACCGCCACACAGAGTCCGGGACCTGTCTTCAAAACAGGATAAAACTTTCTCTAACGCTCTGTAAATTTCATATAAGAATCATTTTAAACATATTTTTATGAATATGTATCAAAAAAGTTTAAAACATCTAAATCTTTTTTTTCTCAATGAAATATGCTATATGATAAATGAATCGAATTTACAAGGGTTGTTCAATAAATAATGTCCTCGGTGCTCGGAAAGAAGGAAAAGACGCTTTTCATTGATTTAGTCGTAATGATTTAACTTAAAATTCTCTTTTAATTAAAACACATGTCCATAAATTTTTTTTATCCAATTTCTGATTGTTTTTAGAACTTATTTTTGGGTATAACCCTTAGTATACTGGAAAATGGCAGATCTTGATTTCCTGGACTTAATTCTTTCTTCTGAAAGAAGTTTAAAACATGAAACAAGTCAAAAGTCGACAGATATGGCAAATATTGTAAATGTGAAAAAAGTAACTATCTGTTTATCCCAAAAACTTTTTTACTCTTCAGGGCGTGCGGGTTTGGACTCTGTCATGAAGAAATTTAATGTAGTGGATTCCTGATTCCGGTTCCTTCCTTTCATTAACCTTTCGATTTGTTTGCAAAACAATTGCTTTCTAGATTCTTCCAGAAATTAAGCTGCCTTCCAAAATACAAATTTTGGCAAGAAAACAAATAAAATTTAAGAAAATTGCATATGAATCTGTCTTTGTGCTCTTGCATTTCTTTGCTCTTCAAGATCACAGACCTTTGCTCTTTTTCTCAAGTACATCTTCTTGTATATTTTGTTTTGAGGGTTTTATGCAATAGATTCAAGTTTCATTATCTGTTTGAATTTCAAACAAACGTGGATAACTACAATTACTGATATTTTAAAATAATTGTTTAGATATTCTTAAACACTGTCGTTTTTACTCATTTTTCAAAATATAGAATGACTTTTGAGTACTAAGCTTTTTTTACTGTCAAACGTCTCTTTTAAAACAGTGTAAACTACTCCCGAAACGATGTCTATCACATTTGCTATGTGTCGTAAAGTAAATCATACATAAAAATAATTATTTGTTGAAATTTGACAACCAGTACATTAGTTGTTATAATATTTAGTTTGCAAGGACGGTATCCATTTTTGATGCCCATTATATTAATTCATTTTTTTATTATTAAAATCCACCTGCTCATTTGCCTATAAAGCAGACATTTTTTGTTGTAAATCTTAAATATTTCAGTGAATATTTCTTTGGGATTCGTAATGAGTTTTACAGCAGGTTAAATGAAAAGTTTAATGTCACTCTAGTTTAGTGACTCTTTACCATTCATTTGTAATGCAGTGTCTCAATTAGCCGTTGTTTTCCAGCATCTTACAATGAAACTTTTTGATGATAAGTGGTCACATAAATTGTTATAAATTCAATAAAGAATCAATAATGCGAAAAAGTCAACCTTAATGTCATAAGGTATCTGTATTGTATGACATACAGTTTAAGACATTATTTATTTAACAGCCCTTGTATTGGTCTCAACATATTATTTTTTTTATTTTTTGTTTGAAAATAGCCTTTTGCATCTGCTCTGGAAGGTAAATACAACAAGTATTTTAATATTGCAGCAGAACATGCGTTTCCTTTATAAAGATCCATGTGTTATTATGTTTTACCTGCATTCTTCACTCGAAACACCAGAACCAGTTTTGCGTTTTCTTGCTTTGATAAGTTCTGGATACAACTTTCCACACGACTGCAAATTGTTATGATCTCTCACAAAGTTGTTCATCATACAGTGAAAGTTTTCAATGAATCCTGTTGAACAAAGATATTTATTTCAAAAATTAAAACATTTTTTCCCTGATTTTTATAATACGTGTGAGCAGATTTAAAACAAGATGTGTTTGTGAAACACTGTCCGCCCGGCAACAACAAAATTTGAAAAAGAAGTAATTTTTACCATTTAGGTAACAGGCAAGGTCACAAGGTTATTGACCTTGGTGTCCTTTGAAAGAGCTTTATCAGTGGAGTATCTCACCAAATTTTAAGTTTATACCTCTTATGCTTTAAAATTATGACGAAGGTACGGAAAAGCTACTTTTCGCATAAAGGTCACGTCACAGTCAAAGTAACAAGGTCATTGACATTGATGTTATTTGAAAGAGCTTTATCAGTGGAGTATACATATCAAATTTAAAGTCTCTATCTTTCCTAGTTCAAAAGGCATAGCGAAAGTTAAAGTTTGCAGACAAAAAAAATATTTTTAGCATATAGGTCACTGTCAAGATCATAAGGTCATTGAACTTGGTGTCATTTGAAAGAGATTTAGAAGTGAAGTATGTATATCAAATATGAAGTCTTTATCTTTCATGGCTCAAAAGTTATGGCGAAGGTTAATGTTTGCAGACGAACAGACAAACCAACAGCTAAACAGACAGACATTACAAAAACAATATACGACTCGGATCTATCGATCCGGGTGCATAATAAATCAATTAAGCTCATGTTTTGAATTTAAATGATTTGTATATAATTACATTAAGACGTGTCATGAAATGTTTATCGAGATTTTCATCTTTACGCTTTTGAAAACTATTTTAGTAAAATATACCAGCAGTGTTAACAATTGTTTCTGTTTATAATCTATGTAGAATAAAACAATGTATACATGTTAGTCTTAGTACCTGGTTTTCCTTCTGCACACAGGTATTTTTCAGCAGAAATCACCAGGTCAAAGGTCACGGAGGGGCCAATTGAAGGATAACATCTTTTCATGTCCTGAATACACGACACTAGCTTCAATTGGAAACTGTTTATTACCAGCAAAAAGAAAAAAACCCACAATATCAGGGACATCCTTATAAAAAATATTTGAATGACAAACATGATTGTTTTGTGGTAAATGTCACAAAAAGAAATTAATTGAAATAAAGAACTATTTTTCTTGAGAACCTTTGTTGCATTACTACTGGAAAAAATCTCACAAGGTTTTTTGCATTATTCAATTTCAATAATAGCATTTTTCAAAGAATTGCAATTAGTATGCTTCTGTGTATTTGTCAAGTTAAATAAATAAATTTAAAAAAAAATGTATGCACTAACCCACAGTGTTCATCTACGGCTTCTTCGGGATTAAGTGTCTCTAAAAAGTTTGGCGATTTTATCTTTTGCATGTAATTCAGCATAGATGGCTGCGATACACAATCATCAAGTCCTGAAAAGCTGCACATTTGACCAAAGGTCCCTAAATGAAATTTAATTTTTTTTTTTTTGTAAAATATATTATAGTATTAATGGCTTCTACAACATGTAAGTTATGTCAAAGAATACACCGGGAGAAGATTAAAGATAACCTAACTTTGTAAGATCCTTGTACTTTTACAAATGTCCTTAATACATGTAACTTAGAAAAGTAGAAATGTTTTGTGTATTAATGAACTTGCTGAATGTGTATCACAGTCATATTTGCTGAATTATAATCCAAAAAATCAGCGTAGAAAAACAAGAAAGCAAAACCAACTCATTAGTATTGTCAGTCTATACATGTCATTTCTACACATTGAACTCACCCGGTCGGTGAAATGTGTATAAAATTAACACTTACAGAAATAATGCACTGTTTTCAAAAATATTTACTCGGCACAAATATTCCAAATATTGGTGAGTTGGTTTTGCTTTGCTTTCTAATATTTCTACTCTGAATTTTCTAGATGATAGTTTACATATTGTTCATTGCATGTGTAAATCGCAACAAAATGTCTATTTTTCTTAAGCTCTAAAACTCACATATTATTTAAAAAATTGCATTATCAAACATGTGCATTAATGTCAGTGGACTTGTTTAAAGATAAACTTTGAACTTTACTCGTTATAATATTATCTAATAATATTTTCCTTACTACTGCATCAATTAAGACGGTCATAACAAAATTTCGTAGGATCTAGTTTGATTTATTTTACCGATAAAGTGCTAGAGTAAATAAATCTACAGTAAGATATTGGAAAATAAACTTCTTGGTTTGATATCGGGGTACAGTGAAACCTGTCTAATCCGACATGCACTGGGAGATGAATTTTGTGTCGGAATAGACTTGGTATCGGAATGCACAGTTTAAAGAAACATAGAAAAGAGTAAAATGGGAACGAAATTAATTGTCGAAATTCACAGTGTGTCGGATTAGACAGTTTTCACTGTATATCAAGCATAATTTTTTCAATGCGTATGAAAAAGTGTTTTTTTTTTCAGATATGAATTTTATATGAAGAAAAATGATTGCGATTCGAATTAAGGACAAAGAAAACATTACTTATTGTTATGCCCCCGTGATTGAAGACTCGATGGTATATAGTTTTAGCCCCTTTCGTCCGTTTATCTGTTTGTATGCAAAAACTTTAACCTTGCACATAACTTTTGATTGGTTTCAGGCAATGAATTTTTTATATCACATGTGCATTTCTTGTGAAAAAGGCTTTTCTTTTATATAATATCAAACTTTAATACTCTAAAGGCCGTTTTGTGATCTACAATGAATAACAAATATCAAAATATTTCTTTCCCTAAGAAATCCACGAATCATCGGTAAAAAACTTGAACTTCGCCAACCGTTATTATTTTGCCCTGCAATAGAGTAGTACCGCTGTTACCATGAAGGGGCTAATAACATAAAAACACATTTTAGGCCAGAAAAAGTATAGAGAAAGAACTATTGCACTTTTGAAAAAAAAACAACTTTGTGAGTCTGACCCGTTTTTGCAAAATTTTACCAAATTTTAACCTTTGCCATCAATTTTTAACGTAAAACTTTCCTTTAGCTATCAAAAACTTTTATCCTTTGACCTTAAAATTTTACCTCCTTTAGAAACTTTAACGCTGGCCATAATTTTTGAACGGCTATATGACTTTCGCACTTCATATCTGTAATTCTTGTGACAAGACATTCCTTCAGATGTCATCAACTTTGACCCTTTGACCTTGACCTTTTACCTACTTTTGAAAACTTTTACTAGGGTTCATATATAACTAGAGCTTTCATGTATATTTCACATGTGTTTTTTTTTGGTAAAAACATTACTATGGTTACCAACATCTTTGATTTGCATTTTAAAAAGCGTTCGACTTTGCATTCAAGTGGGGGGGGGGGATCCACTACTAAATCTAGATAACTAAAAGTATTCAGTGTTTTTTTTTAAATTTCGATGAAAGATACGGACATACGAACAGTAACAAACAGTATTCAAAAATATCAAAGTCCATAAAACAATACAAAATAGGAGAAAAGCGAATACAGACCTCCAAAACATCAGAGATGGAATCAGGTGCCATAGAGGAGTAAGCATCCCCTGCTGACCGGTCACACCCACCGTGTGGTCTTTTTCATGTTTATGCCAGCGTGGCGCAGATGTTAGAGCGTCTGCTCTAGAGTCGCGAAGTAGGGAGTCAATCCTTACGTCGCGGGTTCGAATTCCACTGTGGGACGTGGAGACCGGTCCTTCGGATGAGATCGTATAAACCAAATTCCCGTGTCGCTGTAAGTGCTGGCGCGAAAAAGATCCCTCCCTGCTCAACGGAACTTAGTGCCGATTACAGGACAAAACTGGCAGCTTTTCACCCACAAGAGTGGCGTCTCCAAATGAATGAAAAATTCTCGAGAGGTATGTTAAACAATATAGCCAATTAGAAAACTTAAATTTAAATATTTAATAGTACTTTTATATTTACATCGTCTGAATATTGTTCTCCTTGATTTCTTAAGAAAACCCATTGCATTAATCACTGCATAAACAACATTAGGCATGTCGCCTGTACAGATTTCTTGATCAGTGGCTGATTTCAACAATCATGATCAGGAAATAACGGAAAAATCCGTCGTCAATTCAGGAGTAAATAATGGACTAACAATCGGTATGAAAAACATTAGTCAGCATTTGATTCAATGATAAATTGTATTTACTGACAAGGTCATCAGGTCATTGTATTGATCAAAGAACTTGCGAAATGATGACTTTAAACGAGACTACTGATATTCTAGTTTCATCAATTTGTTTGTCAATAATTTTCCTTTTAGAAATTGTTCATATGTAGAACTTTCTCTTGCGCATCAAATCAACTGAGATATATACTCACCGGCAATAGAAACGCAACACCCTAATTTTAGGGAGAAAATTATATACAGGTTATAACTATGTACCAAAAAAGTTAGGACATCTTTTACTTTGCCAAATCAGTTATTTAACGGTTGAATGAATTTCTTTCCATTACCGGAAGTTGCTTTTAAGCCCTTTTAACAGAATTCAAAATTTTCCATTTAAAATGAAATTTTAACAATATTTTAAGTTTCCAAGGTTTTGAAACTGTTAGTCATAATTATTGTACAAAAAGGCCGGGAAAAAATCCTTCTTTCTTTACCGGATTTGATGCCTATATTTGCTCAAAATGACTGATAGCAAAAAGGGGGGATGTTTTAAGAGTTATGTGTTACCTTCTAAAGTTTAATGATAACATTAAAAATGAATATATTTAGGTAAAAAGTAAATTTACAAAAAAATAATGCTCCATTTAAACATTAAATGTTATTTTAGACCTTAGAAAGAAACAAACGCCCGTTAAATCTTAAAAAATCCCCCTTCCGACCATTTAATGAAAACGTACTAGTTCGCCATATACAACAGATGCAGCCCGATTTCTACCATGTATTAAGTTTATCAATGTCTTTATCTGAGCGAAATTAATATTCTTGGGCATTTTTAGATACATGTTTTTCAGATATTGCGGTCGAATTTTCTCTAACCTGGCGTAGTGTAGCAACTTTTTGACTTCCGGTAAAGAAACTGCCATTTATGCTATTGAAACACATGAGCCTGATGAGTCGTTATATAGTGTACATTTGCATCTGCCTCTCTTTTTTTCTTTATTTTGAGAATCTCCTGCATTAGCAATGAAAATCAGTCATTTTGAGGAAATATAGGCATCACATCCGGTAAAGAAAGAAGGATTTTTTCCCGGCCTTTTAGAACAATACTTATGATTAACAGTTTCAAAACCTTGGAAACCCAAAATATTGTTAAAATTGTATTAAAAATGGAAAATTTTGAATTCTGTTAAGAGGGCTAAAAAGCAACTTCCGGTAATGGAAAGAAATTCATTCAACCGTTAAATTACCGATTTGACAAAGTAAAAGATGTTCTAACTTTTTTGGTGCATAGTTATAACCTGTATATAATTTTCACCCTAAAATTAGGGTGTTGCGTTTCTATTGACGGTGAGTATATAAACGCCGTATATTTCCGTTTGCTTTCACTCAATTTAGAATTCGGTCGATTGCATTTTTTTTTACAGAATCAAAAATATATGGTGGTCAGTACTTCAATTTAAAAAATGAGATTTTATTTGTTATTTAAAAGATAATACAAATTAAAAATTGCAAACTTATTGAAAAAATCTTTGATCAGCAACATATAATTGTAAATAAATAATTAAAAAACAATAATAACTTAATCTACCTGGCAAAATGGCAAACGATACAAGTAGAAAATATTCCATTCTGACTTACTTCTGTAAATTTATATGTACGAGACGTTTATGTTTACATCATTTTATAGGAATTGCGAACATTCACTTGGAAAAACCAGAATATGTTTATATACCTACATGCATGATTGCTTAAAACAGTGCGCAATATAACGTGTCACTCAGGTAACTTTTTACAAATGTTTATTTGATAATATGCCTATTGTTTTAAATTCAATTAAATTAGTTAAACTAAAACTTTACATACAAAAATCCAAATTTCTTGCGAGAATGATTTGTATCACTAATAATTCATCTTCTGACAAAAGGTTAACGTTTTCTTTTTAAATAAATGAATTGCAGTAAAACATTATAAGGAAGAATTAAATGCAGTGGTATTGAAAGGAAATTGAATATATGTATATTTATGATAATATTTTTTCAGGATAATAACTTGAAATCAACAAAGACCCATACTCTGTCAGAATGTTTCAAGTATAAATTATTGAGGTTTGTTTTGCTTCTTAAGATATATTTTATCACATTACCATTTGTTAATACATTAAATTTAATATCAAAATAATACTAATTACTTTTGAAAACGTTTCCTTTATTATGAAATGGCCGGATTGATTGATTGTTGTTTGACTCTTATTCTAGAAGGTTTACTCAAACATATACCGGTAAATGGCTTTAAATTAAGATATTCGATCGCTAAGTTGGGGCTCTATGAATAATATAGTGAAAATTAATTTCTTTAAAATCATCCTCATGCACTGTTCTCTGATCCTGTTTACCAAACAGATGAGCTGCCTATATAGCTCAGCTATAGCGGTGCCTCTTTAAGAAATGTGAATTTCACGGGTAATGTACCTGTTTAATTTTTTTACTTTCAAATGTAATATTATTAATAATTTAAAGATATGATATAATTTTTTGGAAAAAGTAGGTCCAACTTCAAGGTCAAAATTACGGGATCAAAATCATAGGCTGTTTGGAAAGTTCTTTAAGCAGATAATGTACATGTGAAATATGAGAGCACTATCTCTTCTCATTGAAAAGTTATGACCAAGTTTAAAGTTTTTGTGACAGATAGACGGGCAGTTCGACAGAGGGGAAAAATGTTAAACGAATACTTTAGTAAGATATAATGTCTCTTTGCTTTCGCAAAAACGGGGACAATAAAAAGCTGTTGCATCATCCTAAAGAGATATCCCCAATCAGTGGTCTTCATATACCCTTTCTTGTCCTTTGTATGACACAGTCTTTGCCTCTGAGATTACAAGTGCAAGTCTTAACTAGTCATTCTCTCTCTCCCTCTAAAGGTATGGAATCGAACATTACGGGGCAAACGACCATTTTTTGCGTTAGCTTAGAATTCTAAAAATAATTTCTGAGATGGCCCAAGGGTTCTTATTTCTGGAAAAAATATGTAGATTTTTCTTTGAGCCTTTGTAAAATTTGTACTGATTTTTGGGACATCACCCCCTTGACTACAAGCTGAATCATCTGTATACATGCACTACTCTCATTTCCAGTCCGCGGGATTCATTCCAGATTTAATAAATGTACCCTTAACTTCAAACAGTTACTCGATCTTACTATAATATGTTAAAAATTAACATGGCTTCAAGATCTAATTATCAGCTTTTACTTCCCCTCGCTTCCCATCACTTACCTTACTACGGTTATATTATTGAGCAACGAATTTGAACTTAAAAAAGCAGCGAAATTTTATACCCACATATATTTAATAACTTTTAAATTCAATTTAAAAAGTGACTCTCATTCCTGGCCAAATTATTCGATATAATCTGCTTTGGGCAAATTTACGCCTTTTTACAATCGCTTTGCGGATTATAAAGCGGATAAGCAAAGCGTAAAGGGGAATTTTCAGGTCAATCTAAATAAATAATGTTTTAATTTGTCGTATTTAAAGCTGAAGGTTGAGTTAAAAAGAAAATAAAATCGAGATGTTTAAGAAAACCAAAAAGAAAAAAAAAATTTAAAAGTTAAAGGATTTCATTTACTATATATTTTTTTCAAAAATTATGCATACAAAATGTTATATAAACATATTGTCAAAGTCACAAATATCATAACAGATGTCCACTGCTATTTAATTGTTGTCTGACCTGTAAATAAAAAAAATCAAATTAAATGAGGGCAAACCTTGTATATAAAGACCATCACCAACAATCACCTTTACTGACAATCAGTAGGGATGGGGATATTAAAAATTCTATACGTAAATGTATCTATAGATTTCTAATTCAAGAATTTTTTTGATATAAAACAAACAATAAACATGTCATTTATACGTTTTCTAGATTCAGGAATTACATTTTTTCATTTTAGGTTAATATTGAGTTCATTAATGACAGTCACAGAAAGTAACGGATATCCCTTGAATAAGACAAAAGAAAATTTTTTGCACATTTTCTTCTTTTAAGTTCTTTTTTATTTTAGTAATAAAAATAAAATATAACCAGAAAATAAAATATCACTTTTTTGTGTAATTTTTTCGCGACACTTTTTTCGAGTGTGAATTGAAAAATTTTCGAAATATAATCAGAAAATACACAATATCACTTTTTTGTATGCCCAAGTGTCTATGTGGTAAGAAATACCAATGAATGTTCTAGTTTTCGTAAGCTTTTTATTGAAAAATGGTTTTTTTTGTCCGTCTGTGTTTTCAAATAACAAAATAATAAAATTGATACCGAAAGCAAGTATATTTTTTTACTACCTATGGATTACTTATTAAAAATTATAATATACGTACCATTGTTGCATTTTACACCTCTCATTAATGGTTTGATTGTAGCTTGTAAATAAGAATGAACGAATGGCACTGCCTTCTCACCACACAGTTCTTTTGCTTTAATGTCCATACAAGTTGAAATTTTTTCTGTTATTCTGTAATTTATATATACAATACATGTATCAATTTTCAGATGTTAATAAGCGATTGATTTAACGTTTAAATTTTCAATCATTCTAAATAAAAAGTACTGCAGTACAAAGGCAAATGGCGACGTAAGGCTTCTTTAAACTTTATCGAATCTAAAACACCGTCCTTTTTATCACGGAAAGGATTCTATTTTACTATATAAGACATTTATATGTACCAGAGAGTACAATTCCATGTTGATGTTCTCTTTAATATCACATTGAAAATTGCAATAATTCTTTTCTTTAGAAAAAAAGGACGATTTTGCTCTGCAAACTGAATAAATCACAAGTATCGGTCCTATTGATAAGTCATCATATATGTTTTGAACACGAAGTATGTCTACAATTCAGTCACTGAAAGCCCTTCCCTAAAATCAATGTGCGTTTTGCAGTTCTAAATGAAGTTAGATTCATTTCTATTGCTATGATATGTCATCATACACTATGTTTTTGCCATCAAGGTATGTCTACAATTTAGGTTCCGATTCCAGTAAATTTCCGGATTAACCCAGATGGTTTTTGGTCTCTGTTAGAAATCTACATCTTCGCTAGCCAAGGCTTTTCGGTCCGCACCGCTCCCCATAAATGGGGAGCAGTGCGGACCGCAAACCCTTGGCTAGCGAAGATTAAAATCAAGCGATATTTGATAATTGTAAGATAGTGACGTAAGCTTTGTTTATCTATCAGATTGCATTTAAAATGCTGTAAACGAAATAAGCAAATTCAGTAAAGGAAAACAAACTTTTTCTGAACTTTAACCTGGATGGGCTATGCCAATTACTCTTGCACAATCTTGTGTGGTTATGTGCAACTCTTTTTTTCTTTTAATGATTTCTTTTTCGGTTTTTATCAACATTGAAAGGAAGAAAACTAATCGAACATTTTGAATAATACACCCCAAAATCATACTGAAGTCGTAAATCATGCTCTTCAACAAAAGGTCATTCTACATTCAATTACAGTTTTTGGGCCTTGACAGGTAAGCATTGTAGATTGAAGGTGATATATGTAACTTAATTGTAAATTGATGTATAATAAAATAAAAAAAATTAGAGTATGAAAGTTTGAAATGTAAAAATGCTAATGTTTTTACCTGCAAATTTCATCAGAAGCATCAGAACCTGTTTTGCTGTCTTGCTTTTCAATAAGTTGTGGAATAAATTTGAAACAGGGCATTATAGCTGTTTGATTTACTACAAATTTGGTCATCACACATTGGAAATTTTCAATAAATCCTTTAAAAAAAGAAAAAAAAATTTAAATTGATAACAAATATAATTATGTTTCAATCTTTTACTCTTTTATGCAATTAAATCTTTTCCTTGTGAAAAAATCAATTTGACGCATGTGAATATTTATTCTATCAAAGGAATGTTACCAATATGCATGAAATTTAATGCGAAACAAACAGAATTCAAGCTCAAGTCTCATGGAACAATTCAAATCGGGAGCAGTTAAAAAAACCTTTTGATATCAGAGGTGGAATCAGATGGCTCGAGGGAGTAAGCATCTCCTACCGACCGGTCACACTTGCTCTCGATCACAATGTTACATAGGGCATCGTGATTAATATTCTATTGCCATCAAAAGCAAGTTATGATTTCAACAGTCAACTTCTTTTCGTACAAAGCAATATACCCTTATGAATGACATTTGTGGTTCACTGATAAAGTGATAAAAATGATAAAATCTATTTTATGGTAATAATTTGATCGATACAAAGACCTAAACAACAAGTACAATCCGATTTTTAGTAGAATGCTGACTTACTCTTTTCCACTAATTGCAAGACTGTTATTTCCCCCTGTTTTTCCATCATTGCAAGAAGCACAGTTTTGTCCGGTCAGTTCAGGTATACTTTCTCCTTGATGCCAGTTAATGCTAAATCTGACGGGTTTTTTTTATTTTGACCCGAGTTTGTAATGCTCTCTATCTATTTTGTGTTGATGGACTTTCGAGCATGTTTCCTGTTCCGTATCTCCATACTTAATCTAATTATTTTCACTGAAGTATAGGAGTAAAAGATTGTTACAGTATTATCTTTCCGTTAAGGCCTCACAGTTTTGCTCTTTAAAAAAAGGTTTGAAGAATATCTTAACTTGCTTTCCCTCAGAACATAAGAACCTTCCAGCATTGACGGTTGTATCTATAGTGAGAGTGCTTGGTGATTTACAGTTATTCTTGATGTCCTTCACACAGTCGCCTAATTTCTTGTGGAAACTGTAACATTGATGGAGATATAAATAATTGCAATTTAGTCTAATTTTAAACAAAAACTGTTTACAATATCAGACATATAAAATTGAAGTAAAAAAGCGAAAGAATATAGCGGTATATTTAATAAGAGAAAGTTTTATTTTAGAGAGGTTTATTTACGATCTATTATAAATTTAATGATTTTCCTAATCAAGATCCTTACAAAATTTCATATATTTCGTTTTTTTGTATTTAAATTTAATTAATATTGGATACTGTATAAAGGGTTATTTATATTATTATTATTTTTTTTATTCTTGTGCATTGAAATTGTTTATGTTGATTTCTGCCCTTTAAATTCATGAAAACAATTTTGCCCCGTGTGTTAAATTCGCCCAGTCCTTTTTTGTTTACAATTTAGTCTAATTTTAATTAAAAACTGTTTACAATATCAGACATATAAAATTGAAGTAAAAAATGTGAAAGAATATAGCGGTATTCGTAGAGGTGGATGAGAGAGGCATCTTTATAAATTTAATGATTTTCCTATCAAGATCCTTACAAAATTTCAAACGTTTTTTGTATTTATACTAAGATGGATATATCATACTTGCCTACAGAATTTATCTAATGTGTGTTCAGTATTCAACGTCTCCATTTCTTGTGATTTCATCATTTCTACGATTTCTTGGAAATTGAATTTCTTCATACAATTCATAATCCTACTATTATCACATTTTTCAGGGACTGTCCCTGGAAAAAGTAACAAAATTAATGTATTCATGCTTAAAAAACACACAAACATAAATTGTGTACACATAGCCGCCTTACATTTGTAACAGACATTCAAAAATAGTTGTAAAATAAAGATGTCTTCAGTAAGTGAATATTTAAAAGTGAATATTTACAATATACCAATATGAAACATGATTTGATAATTCTTATTTTCCCTACCTGATACAATGACAAGCGATATAAGAAGGATAAATGTATATACCATCATTATTGATTTCATGATTATAATCCAAGTTGAATTAATTTCATTATAAAGGTAAAGTATATTTCACAATGGAAAAACCATAAGGATTGTGTGTACAGACAGATGTGCATGACTGCCTTCAAACGTCAGAAGGTGTGTATCAGAAGAATTTATAGTGTTTTATTTACAATGCTACCGTTATTCTGGAGATTACTGACTTGGTCAAGGACTTGTTAGTAAAATCTCTTTTCAATGAAATAAATATCACTTTCTTTAATCAAAACTTAGCATTTTGAAATAGGATTGATGAACGCATAAACAAATTTTATATGCCTTGTTCTTGAATTTTTCCTTTCAAACGCCTTTTTCTGCCTGTATATTGTTTTTGTTTTCTCTCAATACAGAAACAGTAGCCCACCTGGTGCATTGGTTAAAATATCGTGGAGTATGGAAATGCTGGTTTCAGTCCAGTGCAATTCCTTAAGGATTCTTCTCTTTGACTATTAAGAAATATATAATTATGCATATGTATAGAAATTGTAGTTTTCATTTGTTCTAACCGAAATAATTTTGTTTTGTCCAAATATTGAAATGGACATTCCATCACACAAACTTTTGCTTAAACTTTTTTTTTTGTGAAAAATCCTTATTAATGCGATTCTCTTCTCTCCTTTAAACATTATTCAGGATGTCAATTTAAATGTAAATGTATCGAAAAATAAAGCTGATTTCTGAAAAAAGTTTGTTCAATGTGTTATTTATCCTTATAGGACATAATTTGTAGATCACCACCGGCAAGTGGTGGCGTCTTGATATGAGTGAAAAATTCTCGAGCGGGACGTTAAACAATATACAATCCATATTATGGATATCATGATACCATGGCAGTCATTATATCGACCATAATATTTACGACAAATTGACTTCAATAGAAACTAGCTAAAGTTTACCACATCGCTGATAGTATAAAGACATGAGTAATTCGTGAACATGATATTGAAAGGAAATTGAACTGTTCGATTGTAAAAGAATTTATATTTATTTTATATGTATGTGAAGTAACATTATAATTAAGTGATAAATATATATTATTATAACAGTAACTTGATCCAAAGGGTAATATCGCGTCTTGTTTGGTCTGATGATCCGCGCCTGTCAATGAGACGTGACAGTCATTATATTTCGACTCTTTTGATGATATTGTCAACGAGACGTGACAATTGACTTCAAGTTACTGTTATAATGATAAATTTTATATACCACATTGCTGATCTAGCTAAAAAAAAGCAAAATAAAACTTAAGAGATCAATTGTACAATAAAACAGAGCATAATAAGAAGGGACATTTAAATGAATAAATATATGTGTTTTACATGTCATCAGTTTAGATAGTGAATTATAAAAACTAATTGATAAATAATCATATCTGTGATTGTGTTTTCAACAGTAAAATTGAGCTTACACAAAGTTATATAATAAATAATCATATCTGTTTACTGTGTTTTAAGTATTAAGCTTCATCAAAGTTGTTGATTTCAACGAATTTAGAAAAACGCACAATGGTCTCTAAAAAGATAGTCAAAACGCAAGTAAGCAGAGATACATTTGTAAATTATGTATATCATTTTCACAATCCGCCAGACAAAACAATGTCAAGGTTTCAAAACAGACAGGTGACTGTCTGAAGTAGAAGGGCAGTTATTTTGTTCCTACTGGTTGGCGGTTTTTATTGCGTTTGTCGTAATTAAAGTACGAGATTGAAAAGAAAGAAAAACATTTAAGGAGGAATGCCACACCAACTTTTTATTTTATAGATCTCTGAGTCAACTTTTTTAAAGAATGGTTTCAGCATTGAAAGGCCGACATTAGTTCTCAATTATTTTATATGATTTTTTTTTGTATTTTTTCAAAGAATATTAAAAAAATTATTTACTTCCAAATTAGATGCTTTCTTGCAAAAATTTTGCTGTAAATGAATGCATCACATTAATACCTAATAAAATATGTAAAAAAAAAAAAAGCTGTATAGATTTTAAATTTTTTAAAATAAAAAATTATTGATGAAAAAAAACCACATATTTGTGCATATTTTTTAGACTTGTGGTTTAAATCTTTTTAAAATCAGTCACAACTGGGGAGAACATGTTTGTTCATCACATTTATAAAAGAAATTGAAACGAAATAGCCAAATTTTAGAGAAAATATTTTTTCTAAATTTTGGCCAATCCCGATCAAAATTAAACCGATCCCAACTATGATTGTACAATTATTGAAATAAATAACATTTCCCCAAGAACACTAGTCTGATTACGTGTAGTAAGTGTTAAAACATAATTGAACTTGAGAATCAAATTGATTTCTTCATTGTAAATACAGGAAAGAGGCAATTAATTAGCATTTTATCATTTTGTGTTAATTTTGATCGGGTTCAGTTTAATTTTGATCGGGTTAGGTCCAATTATTAAAAAAATTAATTTCTCTAAAATTTCTCAATTTTATTTCAATTTCATTTTAAAATATGATTGACAAATATGTTCTTCTCAGTTGTGACTAGTTTTATGGTGTTTTTAACCATAGGTTTAAAAAATATTCACAGATAATGTGTTTTATTTTCTTAAATATTTTTATTTATAAAAAATTAAAAAGTCTAACCAGCCTTTCTTTACATATTTTATTAGATATTCATATGATGCCTTCATTAACAGCAAACTTTTAACTCGAAAACATCATATTTGGATATAAATAATTTTTTTTATTTTCTTTGAAAATATATAAAAAAGAATTAACAAAAAATAATTAAGAGCTAATATCGACCTTTCAATGCTGAAACCATTGTTTAAAAGGGGTGACTCAAAGATCTATCAAATAAAAATGTGGTGTGGCATTCCACCTTAAAGCAAGTTATGACCACAATTAAATATTAGTATACGTAAAGGTATTTCTTTGCAGAGTTTCATAATTTTGCAAAACCCCCAACTCTGTTTAGTTCATGTATAACTTAAGGCGAGTTTCTTTGGTTGATATCTTGTATGTGCATGTGTGCATGGTCTGAAAAATAAATTGTTCTTAACTCTTCTCTTACGCATTTAATAATTAATTTTAGCCAGAATTAAAGCTGAACTTTAAGGGAAGTTTTATTGATTGAATACATGCATATGGAATTAAATCCGTGTTACTGATACTTCAGATTTATACATATTGCATCGAATAATGTAACAAATAAACTGTTAATTACCGTCTTGTTTTTGATTCCCAGAGGAAGCAACATTAAGTAAAATATTTCTGTTTATTTACAAATTCAAAGAACACAGAAACAGATTTATATTGCTAAGGTTACTTCCCCTGTTACTGATAAAGTTATAATAACAATCCAAACAAACGATTTTAATTGCATTTTTGTGGAACGTTTTGATTTTCCTGGTTATTTTGATCATTTAAAATCAAACAAATTTTTTTTTCGTATTATCTAAAAGACTCTAGGTGAGAAATAATATGTTAATTGCCACTTTAAACATTTGATCACCCTTGGCCCTATAGCATATGTAGTAAAGTAGATGTTCTTGTCTAGAGTTCATAGACCAAGTTTAAGGGAAGATCTGTAGTATTTACTCTCTCTCTATCTCTCTCTAAAAGTATGGAATCAAGCGTTATTGGACCATTTCTTTCAAGAAGCTTAAGTTTGATAAGAATGTTTTTATTAATTTTCGAAGTGACATAAGGGCTGGGACGATACAACTTTTTCTATATCGATACGTATCAAGATATTTGAGCCACGATAGGATATGTATCACGATATATTTAATTGCTAATAAGATATTTTTTTGCATTGAAATAAACAAATTATTTATTTGCAAATAAGAATAATTTATTCAAAATAGTTGTTTATAAATTGTAAAACAAAAATATTTTACTCAAGTGGTGTTCATTATTGTTTATTTCATATCCATATTTATATTTAGCTTATTTATTTTATATATTACACCCAAAATGTTAAATAAACAAAACAAAAACAAAAAACAGAAGTAAGATTTTTTGGGCGATATTTCGATAATTCTTCATATGTTTCGATATGCGTATCGTCCTCACAGATATCACGATATATCGATATATCGTCCCAGCCCTAAGAGACATCATGAAAAAAACTTGCTTATCTTTGAACCTTTGTTAAAATTTTACATACTGATACATAAACTCAAGTCTTCAAAATCTGTATCTAAAAGAAAATTAATTCTATTACTTCTCTCTTTATTGCCAACTACAATAATGTTCTCACTTTACTAGGATAAGAGACTTCACAAACAACGAAACCGTCATGCATCCAAGTTATTTATTTTATTTAATGCTTCTATACATCTCGCTATAGTGTTTATTAGTGGGGCGGAGTCTCTTAAGCATTTAACTTTGTCGGGTATTGTCGCACTCAATTACCTTTCCAAATTGTTTTTGAAGATCCATTTACAATTTCAATTTTGAATAGCTTTAGGTAAATTAAAATGATAAAATTAAAAAGGAGAAGTATTTTAAAAGGGAAATGAGAGTACGCAATTTATTCTGTAGTTTTTTCTTCAGTCATCATGCATACAAAATATTATATAAACAAATTGTAAAGGTCACAAATATCATAAGAGATGTCCACTGCTGTTTAATTGTTGTCTGACCTGTAAACACGAAAAATCAAATTAACTGAAGACAGGCTTATATATAAAAATCATCATCAATTATTTTACAATCTGTAGGGATGAAAACATTTTAAGCATGATAGGCATTCTATAAGAAAGATTTTCCATAGGACTGCTTAATCAAGAAGTATTCGAGTATAAAAAATTTAGCATATAAAAGTATGGATGGATCAAAGACGTAATAAAGCTGGTCATACCCCTAACAGATTCAGGAATTACATGCTCTTTTCAGCTCAATATTGAATCTATAAATAAATAACATTAACTAACTGATGTCCCTTGAAAATCTCAACAGAAAATTATGCTCATTTCAAATTCTTTTCAAATTATAATATTCATGAAATTAAGAGAAAATAAGTATCGTTGTAGAAATATTTTACGCTCTATTTAGAGCTAGGTTTAAAACAGGTAATATGTTTCAAAAATCACATAAAATTTTTCTTATTTTCACAAAATATCTTTTGTATGATCATGTGTCCAGTTTTATTCGTTTACTATAATTTTTCAGAATTAAAGAATGTTCTAATAATGATAAGCTTTTTATTGATACATGTTTCTTTTTTTGCATGTGCACTTTATTATTATATAAAAAAGGCATTAAATTTATTTGCAACAAATAACCAGAAGGATGAATTAAACTAAATCAACTTAAATTTGCGTGTTTCTTAAGATATTTTTAAACTAATGTACAGTAGTTGTTAGAGTAAAAAAAAAAAAAAGTTTTGGTATCATACCATTTTGTTTACTGTGTGGCAATAAAGTATTACTAACAATGAATTATTTATTATAAATTATCCAATACATACCATTGTCGCATTTTATGCCTTTCATTAATGGTTTGATCGAGGCTTGTACATAAGAACGAATAAATGGTACCGTCTTTTCGTCACAAAGTTCTTTTGTTTTATCTTCCATACAAGTTGTTATTTTTTCTGTTATTCTGTAAATTCATACAATAGCAACTTTCAAATGTTAATAAACGAATACAGTGTAATTTAAAGTTTCAATTTTGAATTACACTATACTAAAGGTACTACAGAATAGAACAAAATGCGACGTTTGCCTTGTTCGGTCTTTATCACAACTAATCTAAAATTCTTTTCCTTTCCCTTTTTATTTTAATTTTTGAACTCTATTTATAGAGAAAGGTCTCTATTTTTCTACAGAAAATATGCATATGTATCTGATAGTAAAATACCATAATAATTTTGCAAATAGTGTTTTCTCTGACATCACTTTAAAATGGCAACATTTCTTTTATTTAGATTATTTGGACGATTTTCCTTTTGCAATAAAAAATAAGGATTCAACAAAGTTGGAGAGTATATATCAATTCAAAGTTTAAAGATAACGTAAGTAGTCTGCTGTTGAACGGAGTCCCTAGAATAAAGAGTCTCAAGTGAAAAAAAACACCTATACTTTAAATTCTCGAAGCAAGGTTTTGTTTTGTACTGTTTTAAAACTAACTTTTGTGATCAATATAAAGCTAAGTACATAGAATTAAAAGCATTATAAAAACAATTTCTTCACTGAATTAAATTTAATTTAAGCGTTTCATCAGAAAATACAGGACCGTTTTAAATTGTAATTCTAAATTTGCAGTATTTCATACTCTAAGTATTCTCCGTTCAAACAAATTTAAATCAGGATATTTTCTCTTAAAAGAGCTCTCATAATCTTTGTTGAAGATTACAAGTTTTCCATCTGTTGCTTAGGTCTTCGGCAGTCTCGTTTAAAGTCATCATTTCGTGAGGTCTATGGTCGATACAATGACCTTGTCCTTGTCAGCAAATAAATTTATCATTGAGTCAAATGCTGACTGACATTTTTCATACTAATTTTTATTGTATTATTTAAACCCTGAATTGACGACTGATTTTTCCATTATTCCCTTATCACGACAAAGAAAATACGAGGGTGTGACCGTCAGGCAGGGGATGCTTTCTCCTCCATGGGACCTGATTCCACCTCTGATGTTTTGGAGGACGGTATTTGCTCTGCTCCTATTTTGTATTGTTTTATGGGATTTTGATCTTGAATACTGTTCGTTATCTCCACACGTTTTAACTCTAATATCCAGTAGATAGTTTCCGCTAGATATTGATTCTGCGGCTTAAAATGTCACACTCTCTGGTTTGTCTTGTTCTACAAGGTTGAGGCGTGGACTACAAAGGGCTTAACCCAAATATTTTGTTCCCTCTTGCCTGCAATAACAAACCTATAAAAGATCTTCTGAAAAGAATTCTAGAATCCTTAGATTGGTTCTGCAAGGTTTGATAGCTGATAACCTTTCATTGTGTGCCATGCAGTTCCACATACAGATAGATTCCTTCCAGAGTGGTGAACAAATTTTAAAATGCGGTAATTTTGATGACACTAAATATGTTATAGCCATCAAACCCCGTGGGGATCCGGGTTAGAATAGGTCCTCAGTACCCCCTTGCTTGTCGTAAAAGGCGAATAAATGGGGCGGTCCTTCGGATGAGACCGTATAAACCGATGCCCTGTGTCACAGAAGGTGTAGCACGATAAAGATCCCTCCCTGCCGAGCTTAGGCAAAAATTTGCAGCCCTTCACTGGCAATGGTGACGTCTCCATATCAGTGAAATATTCTGGAGAGGGACGTTAAACAGTTTACAATTACAATTATAGCCATCAAGTGTGTTTACACATTCGGTTCCGGTTCTAGTAAATTCCCGAATAAACATTATAATGGTTTTAAAATTCTCTATCAATTTCTAATAACTGTAAAGATTTCACTAAGCTCTGTTGATCTTTCGAACTATATTTATTTAAAGCCATACATGGCGTAACTGATAAAAAAAAATATTTTTGTGAAAAATATAAAATAAGTAAAGAAATATAGTTAATACATTGAAATTAAAACTTTTCATACAATTCTGAACACGGAGAACACCTCGTTTTATCTAAAAATACAATTTTATATTCTCTGTAATGTGTTATTATGTTCCCCAAACGAAGTTGGGGAACATATTGTTTTTACTCTGTTTCTTATTATTATTATTAAGGTCTTCCGTCTTCACGGAAGACCTTATAGTGATTCTACTGTTTCTTATTATTATTATTATTATTTTTCATTTTTATTTTTTTGACCTTTTCAAATCGCGTTTTCTCGAAAACTACTCAATGAATTTCAGCCAAATTTTCAGGAAATATGTGTTGTACCATGCCATTTTGAAATATGAAAAGAAATTGGAAAAATTCACTTCCGGTCAGGAATTATTGCAAAATTTCATTTTTTCCACTAAAAACCTATTCCGTGAATGTTCTCAGAAACTATAAAAGGTAGGATTCTCAAACTTTCAGATATGATAGAGGTTGGTTTGTAGATGTGTGATAAGAACATTTCGTGTGTCGTCGCCACTTCCGGTCGTCACAGGAAGTGATTGAAAAAGGGTAATTTTTTGAACTTTTTTGTTTTTTGACATTTTTTATTGATATTAAAAAGAATAATAGAGACATATTTGAGAATGATAAATATGTAATTTGATTTAGAATCGAAAATGCCCACCTCGAGATATTCGCATTTAAAAATTTGAAGTGGTGGTCCCCAATGGCGTAATGGTAAGCGCGTTGGATTTCCACGCTGGCGACCCGGGTTCCATCCCCCATATGTCCGAAATTTTTTTTTATCACTTTTTCATTTCGATTTTACGTTTTTCTTTTAGAATCGGACGGAAGACCTCTCGTTGCTCGCAACGAGTTTCTTTTCTAGTTAAGGTCTTCCGTCTCCAACGGAAGACCTTATTGTTTTCGTACGGTTTCTTTTTCCCTTTTATTATTCCAACCAATTTTGTGCACGCAAATTCTCAGAAATGGCTCGTCCAAATTTCACGAAACTTTCAGATCTGGTAGGTATTGATCTGAACCTTATTGGAAATTTTTTTGATTGATGACGTCACTTCTTATCTCGAGATATTAAGGATTTTCTGATTTTCAGAGGGTCGGCTTGTCCAGGAAACTCCTCCGAAACGACTTAAGATATCGACTTAAGATTTTCAGTGAAAATAAAGGAAGGTTTGATGAGTTGTAATTGGGTCTCCAAATCTTTCTAGCGCAAAAGGCGCCGGAGCTCGGTAGGGCCCGAAAAAATGTCTCAGAAATATCTCACAAAATTTGACACATTTTGTTTCATATCTTCTCACCTGTTCATAATTTGTTAAAGCATATTGAAGAAAAAATGTACAAAATTATAATACCTTTCATTTGATACCAATAAAATGGGGCTGCCCCTCAAATAAGGGGCTCAGAGGGACCAAAATTCTTTTATCTATAACTCTCTAAAGATCGATATTTTGTTATATATTACTGAAGCAAAAGTAGTCATCTTAACAGTTTGCAACAATATATCATAAAATTTTGGTCATATGTTATGTAATTAGGGGTCACAAGGGGCCAGAATGTCAAATCTTTGACGCTTTATATCTCAAAAAGGGGGAATATTTTGAAAAGCAATATTGAAGAAAAGATTGTCAGAATAATGTTCTAAACAATATTCAAACTTTGAATTTTTGTAAAACGGCCCCATTAAGGACTTGTAGGGGTGGCCCCTAAATATTTCCATTTTGCATATCTCCACAACGAAAAGAAATCTCTGAATAGATACTGAATAAAAAATCTTCAAAATCACAAGACTTTTAATTTGATACCAAAAAATGGGACTGACCCCTCAAATTAGGGGCTCAGAGGGGCCAAAAGTCTTTTATCTATAACTCTCTAATGATCAATATTTTGTTATATATTACTGAAGCAAAAGTAGTCATCTTAACAATTTGCAACAATACATGATAAAATTTTGATCATATGTCACGTAATTAGGGGTCACAAGGGGCCAGAATGTCAAATCTTTGACGCTTTATATCTCAAAAAGGGGGAATATTTTAAATAGCAATATTGAAGAAAAGATGGTCAGAATAATGTTCAAAACAATATCCATACTTTGGATTTTTGTAAAACGACCCCATTAAGGACTTGTAGGGGTGGCCCCATAACATTTCCGTTAAGCATATCTCCACAACAAATAAAAATCTTCGTTTAAATACGTTTAAAAACGAATAAATACTGAACAAAAAATCTTCGAAATCACAAGACCTTTCATTTGATACCAAAAAATGGGGTTGACCTCTCAAATTAGGGGCTCAGAAGGGCTAAAACTCTTTATCTATAACTCTCTAATGATCAATATTTTGTTATACATCACTGAAGCAAAAAGTAGTCATCTTAATGATTTGCAACAATATATTATAAAATTTTGGTCATATTTTATGGATATAAGGGTTGCAAGGGGCCAAAATGCTATATTTTTTATGCTTTACGTCTCGAAAAGGGGAAACATTTTTATAAGTCATATTGAACAAAAGATGTTCAGACTATCGTGATAAATATCAGAAACTTTAAATTTGATGAAGAAAAACTTAAAGTCTTTCTCTTTTAACTAATATCTCAGTCAAAATCACATCTCAACATATCGAGAAATTCAACGGAAGACCTACTCGTTGCTCGCAACGAAATCTCATCTAGTTAAGGTCTTCCGACTTCCTTCGGAAGACCTTATTGTTTTCCTTCTGTTTTTTATTATTATTATTCTTTTTTCATAGTACAGCCGATATCTCAGCTATGCGTGGACAGATTTCAAAGATTTTCTCAGGGAAGATGCATCATGAGAATATCTCCAGACGTGTTTTTCATTTTTTCAAAATTCACTTCCGTTCGTGATTTTTGGGGATTTTTGTATTTTTTAAAAGGCATTTTGTCCAGCAGTTTTCTCGAGAACGGTTAAAGATGTGAAAGTGAAACTCACTGAGGTGATAGAACATCGAACTCCGTTCTGGGCAACGACCTTTATTTTTCGTCGTCGGCACTTCCTGTCGTAAACGGAAGTGAATTCAAAAAGTCACATTTCTCAACTTTTTTGTTTTTCAATATTTTCCTTTAGTATTTACAAGGTTTATATTGTGTCGTATGAGAATTCTAAATATGTGTTTAGTATCTTGATGCGTACATATATTAAAAAGATATGACCGAACCAAACTTTGTCCCACTGTCTGGGGTTCGAATCCCGCTGTGGGCGTTCGATTTTTTTTATCTTTGTTTCTGTCTTTTTTCAGTTGCAAATAACTTTTCTCTCTTTTTTAACATGTATGGAAGATTTTGCCGATTTTTAAAAGCTATTTTTGAGATATTTTGAGGAAAGCATGTAATAATCATGAGGTATGTTATGAGGCTGCTGTAAATGAACGTAAACGAACAAAAATACATTCTGAAATTTTATGGGATGACGTAGCATAGAATTCTAATGAAAATCGGTCGGAAGACCTGCTTGTTGCACCAGCAACAAGAACGCATCTAGTTATTATTATTTTTCTTCTTCTTCCTGGGTACTTTTTTGTCCGGGAATGATCTTGTAAACTGTTCGTCCAAGGTAGGTAAAACCTTTTTAGGGTAAGTAGACATGTTATGCAGATTTGCGGAATCAAGGTCATTTTGCGCGCACGTGCTTGCAAGAGCGCGCACGTGCAACACTTGAAATAACCAATATAATAGAAATAGTCGGAACTTTTCTATTTTTTGATAAAATGCTTTGAAACTCATAATGTAAGGATACATTAGTAGTATAGACAAGATGGCATGGTCAAAATAGCAAGATCTCACGCGCATGCACGTGCGCTTTGCTCTGATTGGCTGAAACTAAAGTCTCAATATCTTTCTTGTTTCTTGTCATAATCTTTTGAAATTTTGAACATGGTCCTACATTATGAAGATCTACAGCACGATATATTAAAATTTTAATAAAAGCATGCGCATGCGCACGTGCTGTAATCTGATTGGCTAAAACTTTAAATGGCTATATCTGCTTTGTTTTTTGACGAAATGCTTTGAAATTTAAAACATAGTCATGCATTACGATATCCTAAAATATGATATAGAAAATATTCATGAAATCACGCGCATGCACGTGTGCTGCAATCTGATTGGCTGAAACTTCAAATGGCTATAACTCTCTTGTTTTTCAACCAAACAGGATGAGATTTAGAACTTGGATAAATATAAGGGACTCCTACAAGAAGGTGTAGTCATTATGCACGTGCTTGCACGTGCGTGCACGTGAAATGAGTAAAATAAAAAAAATACACTCGAATGAGTGCATTTTTTAATACTTTTGGATTAAATGCTTTGATATTATTAAAATTTAAGATAGTGTAGACAAGATAATATGGTCGTTACGCACATGAACACGCGTGCAATGCCTATTTTTTAAATATATTTTGTATTTTTCTTGGAAGACCTTGATTAAGTCTAAATTCCATAAAGTATTTCTTATTTAATAGAGATAACAGGGAATATGGCACCAAAAGGGAGTTGGGGAGCGTTTGGGGAACATCTGTAACGGTCCCCGTTACAATTAGCACTAGTTTAAATCTTTTGTATTTTCTTCCGAGTCGGAGAAAATTCCGAGAATCCAAATTAAATTGTGATTACTTTATAACGCAATTGACTTAGATTTTGTAATCTACGGAAAACTTTTATCTTTATATAAAGTAATGATACAAATAATAAGTTCTTATAATTGTAGTCTAATAATTTTTATTGTACATACGCCATATATGGCTTTAATGTTGTATAAGCCAAATAAGCAAACGTAGAAAAAAAACGAATTTTTGTGAATTTCTTTCTGATTAAATCTGAATCTCTTTCATAATTTTGAGCAGATATGACCACATTTTCATTAATATCTCTTTTGTTTTTCATAAAAACTTTAACACAGAGGACACATTGAGACAAATACTATCAATACTATCAATTAATATCCTTGAAACAAAAACGGTCATAGTATAGTACATTTAATAACACATTTGATTACCGATATATTCTTTGGGGGGGCGGGGGGGCTAGATAAAAATATATTTACCCGCATGTTTCCCCAGAGACTTCAGAACCCGTTTTGTTGTCTTGGTTTTTAATAAGTTGTAGGATAAATTTGTAACAGGGCATGATAGCTTCTTGGTTCTCCACAAAATTGATTATCACACATTGGAAATTTTCAACAAATCCTATTTGAAAAAGCATGAATTTATAACATTAATACTTTTGTTAACTTCTTCTGTCATTCTTTTATGTATTTAGAATATGAAAATAACGAACAGCATTCAAGCTAAGGCCATTGGAAGGATACAAACCGGGATCAGAGCGGAACATGTTCTCTATTATATCAGAGGTAGGATCATATGATATGAATGAGTAAGGATCCCCTAGCTACCGCCCGGTTACACCCGGTCTCATTCACAAAATAGTGTAGGGCGTCAATTATTCCGCAGCAATCTAGCCCACTGTTCCAATACTGACAGGAACCGCAAATGAAGATTTAATTAACAATGTAATATTTTCCTTATCATTTATCGCTTTGGGCAGTTGTGTTAGTTTCAGAAACATTGTAAATTAAAGGTGCTTTTCTACCGTCAAATTCCTTTCTTGGGTAGTAATACACCTTTATCACTTGTATATGCGGTTTATGCCTCCAGTTCGATCCAGTACTTAAAGAAATGCTACAAGTACGGGAAATACCTGATAAAAGATAAACATATGACAAATACGTTGACGGTAAAAAAAAATAAAAGTCTATATTCAATTCATCATTTTACAAGGTCTATGGTCGATAAGTGAAAATGACAGAAAATACAATCATTAAGTTAGCTGCTGTCAAACTTTTTTCCATCCTAATCATAACAAGGAAGGAACTGTGGTTTTGGTCTGTCGGTAAAATGATGCCTTACTCCTTCATGGCATCTAATCCCAACTCTGATGTTTTAGGCTAGAGGTCTTTGATTGTTCTGTTCCTGATTAATTTTGATTGACTCTTGGGCATGAAAATTATTCGCTATCCACATCTTTCATTAAATTAACTTTATTAAATTCATTGAATAAAAATAGTTTTCTTTCCGTTAAGGTCTCACCACTTTGCCCTTTAGAATATTATTACACCTTACCTTGCCTTCCCTCTGAACATAAGAAGCTTCCAGCATTAACACTTGTATCTATAGAGAGTGTATTCGATGTTTTGCAGGTTTTATTGCTGTCCTTCAAACAGTCGCTTAATTTCTTTTGATTACTGTACCATTGACTAAGAAGTATGAAATTAACAATTAAGTCCATAATTTGTTTACAATATCAGATATATACAATTAATGTCAGATAGAAGAAGAATAAATAATTTAATGCATATGTACGTCAAAGACTTCTTATGAATTTAATATTTTACCAATCTATATAATTTACAGAAATTTTCAGAAGATTTGATTTTCGTAAGATCCTGACATAATTCCAATTATTGCATTGTGTTAGATCTAAAATGGATATATCATACTTGCCTACAAAATTCATCTGTTGCGTTTTCAGTATTCATCGCCTTCAAATCTTGTGATTTAAACATTTGTACGATTTCTTGAAAAGGAAATTCCTTCGCGCAATTGATAAACCTATTATAATCACATTCTTGAGATACTGTTCCTGGAAAAAAAAATCAACAAAACTAAAAAGAAAGAAACAAACATGAAATAAGCATGAATTGTGTGCATAGAGCATATTTAACACACATTAAAAAATGATTGTAAATAAAGTAGGTGTCTTTAATAAGTAAATATTTACAGCATAACAATATGAAATATTACTTGATAATTTTTAATTTCCCTACCTGGAACGATGGCAAGCAATACAAGAAGGATAAATACATGTACCATTATTACAGATTTCACGACTATAATCCAAGTAAAATTTACTTCTTTATATACTTAATGTTTATTTCATAATGGAAAAACTAAACAGATTTTGTGTACAGTCATCTGCGAATGACTGCCTCAATGATTCAGAAAGTGCGTATTATGTTATCCCACCTCGGATGTTTTGAAGGTCCGTGTTTGCTCAGTTCCTATTTTGAAAAATAAAGAGTTAAAATTTTTGAATTTGCTAAAGAACATTTTTTTTTATTTTGAACTCCCAGACGCTGAGGTCGATATGAACAGGAAGATTTGAGCACTTTGTCAGAAGAAATTTTACGTCTTACAAGAATATTAAGGAATCGTAAAAGGCAGAGATGGGTTCAATTTCTTTAAAAAGTAATTAATTAAAGTACAACTACTTTGACATTTTTTCTTCAATTAAAATACAGGCTTTCTAAGACATGTATTTATATTCAAATATTTACATTCGCTGCGTTTTTCTAGTAAGCTTACTGTGAAATTGATTTGAAAAACATTTTCGTGTATACTCACGCGAAGAAATATACACGGAGAAACGTGCGTTAACGTGACGTCACAATGAGACTGCAGCGACGTTAGTAAAATGCAATAATATAGGGCAGCGAGAAATTCAAATATTGAGTATATTTAAGTTTCCTCCAAACAGGTAAAATGTAAATATAAGGAATGTTTTTAAGTTTAGTGCGAATTATTGGTGTGAGAATCACACAGACTTGCACGTAGGCATATTTTTCATGAAGCGCTAGCGCGCTTCATGAAATATGCCTACGTGACAAGTCTGTGTGATTCACACACCAATAACTCACACAAAACTAAAGATATTCCTTAAATATCACAATTAATTTACAAAAGTAATTTTAAAATTAAATTACAAATTTAAATTTGATTTTTCAAATTTATTTCTTGTCAATGTATATACATAGCAGGGATCATTAATTTTTATATAAGCTCAACCATTGCACAAACAATACAAGAAATAATATAATATCGGCAGTGTGTATATTCTTTGTTTTAAGTATAAAATTGTTATTTACAAAATATCAAAGAACTATTTGAGATCTGTTTGATGCAGTTTCCTCCACATAAACCTCCATGTGCACAAATTGCATGGGATATGAGATTTGATTAAAAGGGAGTAATTTGACAAGGAGTGGTCGCAACTGTAACCTCTAAAAAAAAAACACTTTGTTTGAAAGTAACCTGAAAATCTTAAATATGTTGAACATTTTTACTTCATAAATAATACTTGTAGTAGTACAGAACATAACTTTTTCAGATGCAAAATTCATTCATAGAATTATATTTAAATGTTAAAAAAACTATCAAATTGAAAGTTTTTCTCACCTTCAGTCAGACTTTGCGTATATCTCAGTTTATAGCTCATGTTCATAAAACCTATCCAAGATATATTCATTTAACTTAATATGATTATAGATACTGATAAGCGCTATTATCAACCGATTTTGACCTTGACCTTTTCTTTGACTTTGACCTCATTTTTCTAAAATAAGTGTTTAGCTAAGTTTTAAACATTTCATTCAAGGTGACTTCACTTTTCTTAAATTAGTGTTTAGCTCATTTGTAAAGAATCCACCCAAAATATTTTTATCAGACTTCATATACTGATCCATACAGATGAGAGATATTTAACTGCATCAACATTTTTGACATTGACCTTTAATTTGACCTTGACTTCACTTTTCTTAAATAAGTGTTAGGCTAATTTTACAAAAATTCATTCAAAATATTTTTGTCGAACTTCATCTGTTCATTCTTACTGATGAGAGCTATTCAACTGCATCAAAATTTTGACCTTGATCTTTCATTTGACATTGAACTTCAGCTCAAAGAACCATCCAAGATATTTTATCAAACTTCATATACTGATATATACTGATAAGAGTTTTTCAACTGCAACAACTTTTTTTACCTTCACCTTTAATTTAACACTAAAATAACTTTTTTGAAATGAGTGTTTAGCTCAGTTTTAAAGAAATCATAAAAAAAATATTTTTATCAAATTTCATATGTTGATACAAACTGATGAAAACTATTCAACTGCATCAACATCTTGACCTTGACCTAATTTTTCCTTAATTAGTCTCAAATTTCATATGCTGATACATGTAAGAAATTCAACTGCATCAACATTTTTGACATTGACCTTTTATTCAACCTTAACCTCACTTTTATCAAATTGTGTTTAAGTCAGTTTTTAAAAAAAATCATAACATTTTTTTTCAACTTCAAATGTTGATTCACACTGATGATATAATTTTTCAACTGCATCAGCATTTTTTTAACCTTTGCCTTTCCTTTGAACTTGACCTCAATTTTCGAAAAATTGTGATATATACTGATGTACGCAATCCAACTGCATCACAACTCAAGACATTCTGATAAAATTTCGTACACTAATAGAAATTTTCATGTTGCATTACTAATATACCCTCGGCAGGGCAGTCATGCCTTATTGACATATTTCAAGTTAATTGAAATAATTATCTCCATGTATTGACTTTGTCTTCTAAATCACGGAATGAATACCTCTTTAGAGGACTTGATTTTTTTTATTGCAATTTTCAGCTGTGATCTGGAGGCCAATTATCTCTTACCAACAAGAGGGTACTTAATTCATGACGCACACACATTCCATTTCTTTTTCTTAATAAACACATTCTTATTCTTCATTGATCACACAACAGAGATTGAAATATAATAGATGTGTGTCTCATAGCAGAATAGACCCAGAACAGCGATGCAAAAAATAAGATAAACATAAAACAAAAAATTCAAACTTCTTATAATGAGTAGAAAGAAAATAGATTACTATTTTCTAAATCATGGAATGAATACCTCTTTAGAGGACTTGATTTGTTTTGATTGCAATTTACAGCTGTGATCTGGGGGCCAGTTATCACTTACCAATAAGAAAGTATTATAATGCATGGCACACACATACCATTTCTTTTTCTTGACACACACATTCTTATTCTACATTGATCAAACAACAGAGATTGAAATGTAATAAATGTGTGTTTCATAGATGAATTAGACCTAGAATGGCGATGCAAAAATCAGATAAACATAAAAACAACAAATTCTAATTTTATATGATGATTAGGAAGAACTAGATTATTATTATTTTAAACAAATATGTTTTCTGTATAATTGAAGAATTGCTCAAGAATATTAGTTTGCAATAAAATAAAAGACAGTAAAATGGGTAGGTAATGGTGACAATATTCATGAATGCCTGTGTATGTTATAAACATGTATATGTTTACATATATGTGTAATTGAAAAAGTAATTGAAATAACATGGTATTTTTTCAATGAATTAATTAAATTACAATTACAAATAATTGAAGAAATGTTCTATTACAAATAACTTTCAATTACTTCAAAAAAGTAATTAATTGCAGTCAATTACAATTTCTTTTTTCAACTACATGTACCCCATCCCTGGTAAAAGGCAATATGTGAAACATCTATGCTTCGGTTTCCACTTACGAGGGGCGTTTAATAGATAATGTCATTGGGGCTCGGAAAGAAACAAAAAACGCTTTTCTATGACTTAGTCTTAATGATTTAACTAAAATATTTTCTTTCAATTAAAACGCATATCCGTAACATTTTCTTTCAATTTCTAATTGTTTTTCGAACACATTTTTGAGTATGACCCTTCGTATACTGGAATATGGCAGATCCTATGATTTTCTGTACTTGTTTTTTTCTTTCTGATAGATGTTTTTTTAAGTTTAGGAAATGAAACTATTCAAAGAATGAAAGATCTGGCAAAATTTGTTGATGTGACAAAATATTTACTTTCTGTTTATACTTAAAACTCCTTTACTCTTCATGGCCTGTGGGTTTAGCCGCCGTCATGAAGACATTTAATGTAGTGTACCGGTATTCCTCATTCTGTTTCTTTCCTCTCATAAACCTTTCATTTTTTTGCCAACAAATTGTTTTCTAGACTCCTCCAGATATTTGAACTTCCTCCCCGAATATGAATTTGAAGAAAAAGACCGCTAATATTTCAGAAAATAACATTGTTTTATGCTCCTGCAATTCTTTGCTATTCTTAGGACTTTGCAGTTTTGTCATGTGCATCTTATTGTAAATTTGTTTTGAGGGATTAAAGCAAAATGGATTCAATTTTTATTATCTTTAAGAATTTCACACAAACGTGGATAAGTACAATTTTTGATTTTTTAAAAGAATTGTTTGGATCTTCATACACGCTGTCGTTTTCACTCATTTTTCAAAATATAGGGCGACCTTTGAGTATTAAACTTTTTTTTACTATAAAATGTTTATTTAAAACAGTTTGAACTATCCTCAAAATGATTTTTATCAATTTTGCTATGTGTCTGAAAGTCAATAAAACATAAT